CTCTTGCCATGCATGAACCTTTGGCTCCTATTTCTCTGGTAGCTTGGCAATGTGGCTGTTCAGTAGTCATGCTAATCACCTTAGTAAATTTGAAGGAAATTAATTCCTATTAAAAAGACTGTTTTTGTTTTTTTTTTATGAAAAGGTGGTGGTTCAATGGAAAATGACGAGGCACTGAAAAGAACTGAGAGTATTTGAATGGGCACAGGAGACACACTTCTAAGTGCGTCTAGAACCTGGAGTCCAGTGTTTGCGGATGCACAGCACCTGCCCCAACATGCACCACAAAAGCACCAAGGTGCACGACCAGCGTGCACAGGCATTAGCATGTAGACCTCCCCAGACATTGAACACTGCTTTATTTACACTGGCGGAGTGCAATTTGGTTTCCATCTGATTGTGGCTGTGTCCAGATTCTTCCCTCTCAGAATAAGAAAACATTTGTTTTTGATTTTGCTGGAGCCCTAAGTTGAGAGACTTTAAACTTTTAAAGAGATTTTGGAGCTTTACAGAAATTTTGTATTTAAAAAGAGACTGGATATTTTAAAAGAGGCAGCTTTTTAAAGCATTTGAATGTGTAAGGCTATGAGACATTTTAAGAGGATAAAATGTTTCATATTGTAATGTTGATTTTAATGTGTGATCTTGGGATTGCACAAGAAAGGAAAGGCCATGTTTTAGCAGTGGTGTGTTTATGTGTCAAGCTGACAAGGGTCCGTGGTGCTGGCTAGTTTTATGGCAGCTTGGCAGAAGCTGTAGTCGTCTGGGAGGAGGGAACTTCAGTTGAGAAAAGGGCGTCCATAAGATTGGGCTGTAGGCAAACCTGTGGGGAATTTTCTTAATTAGTGATTGATGTGGTAGGGTCCAACCCATTTTGGGTGGTACCACCCTAGGCTGATGGTCCTGGGTTCTATAAGAAAGCAGGCTGAGCAAATCATGAGGAGCAAGTCAGTAAGCAGCATGCCTCCCTGGCCTTTGCATCAGTTGCTGCCTCCAGATTCCCACCCAGTTTGAGTTCTTGCTTCTTGGCTTCCCTCACTGGACTGTGAATTGGGACATGTAAGCCAAATAAAACCTTTTCCATAAAAAAAAGCAAAGCAAAATAAAAAAAAAAAGCATGTAGACCTCAAGAAGGAAAGTACAGCTTCCTTCCCAGGCTGAGAGACCCACAGCTTCTTCACATGAGAGACCCTGCTCTCACGATACTAGGGGAGGAAGTAACTATTGGAAGGGTGGGTGACAAACATAATGAGTGCCCCAGTAACTCTGATGCCACATGCATCACAGCTGAAGTACATGTATGACACATGTCATGCCATAGGACCAATCAGCAATTTTTTTCCCCCCTCTAGGAATGATGCAACCTTAGAGAACCGGAAATTGTGTTTGAGGGTTCATGTGGGCTTCCCCAAAGTAGAGGTCAATAAGAGTCAAGTGAGGGTTACTGCTGGCAACTGTCCAGAGCCACACCTCATCTTTCCCTCTCCCAGGAACAGGCCAGGAAGGTAGCATTATCCAGCGCAGGTTTCTACTTGGAGAGTGTTTGGGCTTTCTGGCAGAGGCTGGGGTTTAGTGGAGGCACAAAGTAGTGAGAAGAAGCATCAGCTGGTCAGCTGTCTTATAAGATGGAAGACAAGAGATCTGCAATGGCCACAACTCTCTGAGAGATTTATAGTAGCAGACCCTTAGAAGAAGGGGTGTGTTACCAGTGTGACCACAGCCTTGGAGGGGGCTGCTGAGCACAGGAACGTCCGGTGCCTTTAGTGTAGACTCTGCCAGGCTCTGCATACCGCAGATAGCAATAAAGCCATCTGTATGTTATAAAACAGCTTAGCTGTTTGCCCTTGCCTTCCTCACACAGAGAAAGGTCAGCGGCAGAGACGTGAGGATAGCAAAACAGAGCTGACCCTGGGCCACATTGGTCAAAAGGCTTGCCAACACCTGCTTATGGATTGGGAAAAAAAAATGAGGCTGAGCCAGCCAAGAAGTGGAAGTGGGAATGTTTTCCCAGTCGATTTTACATGGACTTTTTTGGGTTTACTGCTTTGGGCTGTGATTTGTGGTGGCGTATTATGTTCAAATATTAATGGTCTTCTCCATGGAATTAGTGGTTATCGTTTTTTTCTTTTGGGGTCTTTGTATTCTGGCAGAATAAAGGTTACCAGAGATACCAGCGAGGCTGTTAGGGATTGGGTGTGGGTTAGCCGGAGGATGGGGATGACCAAGACCCCTGAGACAGCTCATTTGGAGGGAAGGTCAGGGATTTCATTCTGGACACACACAGCCTGGGGTCCTGTTGAACTCTCAGCTGGAAATGATACATCAGCAGTTGGGTATATGGGGCAGAGTTGCAGGTCCATAATAGAGACCGGTATCTGTGAGTCATTATACAGACATTTAAACCTCAGGATACGTGTTGACAGAGAATCATTCCAAAGTTGAAGCCATGGGACACTTTGCTGCGAGGAGGAGCCAGCTGTGAGAACCGACAGGGCACAACGTAATTTCAGCAGCTTCTTGTTGTTGTTGATCTTCTACTACATCTCACTTCTAAAATAGGACCTGGGTATAAAATAAATCATACTAGTCCCTGCCCGTGAAGTGCTTATAGTCAATGCAGTCAACTAATCATTTGGCTACAGAATAGCAGCAGCAAAGACTCCTTTGACACAGTATGAGATGGGTGGAGCTGGGGAGAGGGGTAGGGGAGGCACTTGGCTTAGGGTAGGAGAGTCAGGAGGGTCTTTGGAGAAAATAAGACCCTTAAACTTAGAGAGAGAGAAAGTAGCATTTTGGGTGAAGAAGGGAGAAGAAAAGTCTAAAATGGCTGGATCCATGTTGGACAAGGCATGTTGATGGCCTCTGAAATCTCACCCAAGCGAGCAGGAGGTCTCTCTCTTCATGGTCACACTGGTACGTAAGACACTTCTGTTAACGGGCATGCCTAACACAGCAGATGGATTGTTTACTCCGACCGTGTCCGTAGTTTGCTTGCAGAAGTTTGAGTTCTACTTGCTAACAACTGCAACATTCTAGAATTAAAGAGAAAGGCGTCTGGGATGGTCAAAGCCACCTGCGGCCACAGCAAGGCAAGGCGCTCTATCACAGCCGACTCTGAGCGGCAGACGAGACCATATGGCAGGCCCATTTCCCACCAGGCTTTGTTTTCCCTGCACAGTGTGTAGTGAGCACAGAGTGTTCCAGGTGACAACAGGAGGCTGTGGGCAAGGGGAGGAAAGGGAAAGTCAATTCCCGTTTCACATCAAAGAGCAAACTGCAATACCGCCACTAAAGCAGGTGAGCATTGTAAGAAAGAAGAAAGGAAGGAAGAAAGAAAGAAGGAAAGAGAGAAGGAGGATCTCGCAGTAGCCCACACTGATAGAAAGCTCTTTCTTCGGGCAAAAAAAAAAAATACCCAGTTCACGCTGAGAGCATAGATGTGGAATAACACTAACTATAGGGCTCATGCTCTTTTTGCCCAAATAGTTTTCTATATTTTTTGTTTCATATACCTGAATTCAACCAACCTTGGATTGAACATGTTTGGAAAATTCCATCTGTGTTGAATGTGTACAGGCCCTTTTTGTTTGTTATTTTTTTCTGAACTATACAAAATCAGTATGTAGCAGTTATATTACATTGGCTATTGGGAGTAATATAAGTAATTTAATGTATGTGGGAATACACATACAGGTTATGAGTGAATGCTACACTATTTTATATATATAAAAAAATCTTGAGCATCCTTCTTTAGACTTTAGAATCTTCTGGGACTCCCAGGACTGACCCCTGAAGAGTGATGTCACCTAGCTTTTGTCTCTAGTCTGATTACTATCACCATTTGCCCTGCAGAGGTAGCATGGTCAACAGACAAGGTGTACAGAGAGAAAGGGGACAGAGTGGAGCGGGGGAGAGACTAGATAGAGGAAGTAGGCTCCACGTCTCCAGCCTAGGCTTCTAAACTTTTTATTTATCAATTCATTTTGTGCGTGCGTGTGTGTGTGTGTGTATGTATGCACGTGCACCCAGGATTTTAGCTCTTTCAAATAATCTACAGCAAAGCCTATAAATTCTATATGGTTTTATCACAGTTCCACACAGTAAACCTAAGTTCCAATACCATCAAGTCATATACATGTGACTGTGTGAACAGACATTGGTGGGCTCTGGTTTGAATCCTTGCATTCGGACTCTGGGGTCCTTGGCCTGACAGTACACAGTTTTCTTTAATACTTGGGACCATCCGGGGTTGCTTTCTTCCCACATAGGTTCCTAGGCCCTCACAGGCAGGACTTTTTTCAAACCTTGTGTGGACAGAGTTTCAGGAATTGAGCAGCATTTCCCACAAAAAAAAGTTTAATTAATGACAACATACCACGTTCCATGTTTATTCCAGCCCAAGCAAGTCGCAGCTTCTCCTTGAGCTCTGGTGTCCTCACCTTTGTGACCTGGGTATACTGTGTAATTCAGCGAGGCTTTGGTTTTCCCAGTACACGATAATGGTGCTTTTCATAAGATAGGATCATTAAGAGTAAGTGAACCTAATATGTGTGGCTAAAGCCTTAAACTTAGTCTGTAGACATGCTCAATAAAAGATAGCAGTCATTGTGATCAAGTTAAAAAAACAGGTGGGGAGGGGGTGTACAAAACAATACTCAAAGCTCAAAAAGGAAGGAAAAAAACTTGGCAGTAGTCAAGTACGAGGAGACACACAGAGGTGGCAGTCTACCTGACCCACGTCTACTGTTAGGTGCTGACCCATTTTTGGTTTGCACTATTTGTATTTAAAATTTTTTTTTTTTTTTTTTACCCTCCTTTGGAGAAAGGAAAGCAAGAACAAGGGGCATTGCTCAAACAAGTCTGTCCACTAGCTGGAGAGGCTTCTCAATAGGAGGACCTGAAGGACTTCCCATGGGCGTGAGGGAAATTGCATACGCCATCCGGGGAAGCAGACCAGGAAATCGCTTCTTGTTTTTCAAACAGCAGAGAGGCTCTGGCGGATGGCTCCGTGAGGCTAGGAGGAGTGCAGCTTGGAGGAGATAAACCTGAGCAAAGGAGTGGCCAGTCCTGTTCCCAATGAAGCCTGTCCCGCAGTCCCCTGATTGTCTGTAAGGCCCCCCTAGAAGGCTGTGGGCCAATGGCCCCGTAGTGAAAAACAGAGACGTTTCTAGACATCTGTTGAGAATAGGCGCCTGGAGACAGCAGTGGTGGACAGGTAAGGATTTCTTTCTTTTTTATTCTTATTTCTGTATCCTCTGTCCCTTTGTAGCAAGACCTCTGGCAACCTGAGGCATTTTGACATTCTTTTTACAGCATCGTCCAGATCCTGGTAGCTTAGATTGCGTGAGATCATTGCACTGTTGGAAGTTCCCAGTGAGGTCTGCTCAGGGGGTCTTCCTCCAGTTCCCTGGGATCCTTTAGGGTTTTCTCTTTAGTAGGGATTACTTTCCTGAACTGTCCCAAACTTGTCAGGAGCATTGGTGAACCATTACTGTTCTGGTAGCCATGGACTGTGGTGGTGGTCCGGAGGAAGAGGATGTTGCCCTTGAGGCAGGGGAGGACTCCTGAGACAGAGCTTGGGGGGTGCAAAGACCTCCAGGCCTTGGCCGCTTGGGTGGGGTGCAGAGACCTCCAGGCCATGGCTGAGGGGAAAGGAGCTTGTGTGTTGCTCAGTAAGTGTGTGGGACTCAGAACCAGTCAGACTTGCTTTGAAGGTTGTAAAAAGTAGGAAAAAAATCTCTGTGGCGCCGGGCGATGGTGGCGCACGCCTTTAATCCCAGCACTCGGGAGGCAGAGGCAGGCGGATCTCTGTGAGTTCGAGACCAGCCTGGTCTACAAGAGCTAGTTCCAGGACAGGCTCCAAAACCACAGAGAAACCCTGTCTCGAAAAACCAAAAAAAAAAAAAAAATCTCTGTGGCATTTGGTTTTCTCTTCTTTCTTTTTAAAAATTAAATATGAATATTTACAAATATATATATACTATATAAAGAATACAGTATGCAGCTCAGGAGGCAACGACAATAATCTCTGGGTAAAGTGATGTTTTGATTGTATCTTTTTGTTTTTTAGTTTTTATTGAGTTGTATATTTTTCTCTGCTCCCCCTCCTCTCCCATTCTACCTTCTCCCCTCCCCTTCTACCTTCTCCCCTCCCATTCTACCTCTCCCCTCCCCTTCTACCTTCTCCCCCCCTCCTCTCCCCCTCCCCTTCTACCTTCTCCCCCCCTCCTCTCCCCCTCCCCTTCTACCTTCTCCCATGCTTCCAGTTTATTTTTTTAATTTATTTTTTTTTACAAGAAAGCCAGGATGTGCAATTCCACTATAACTTTGTCCTTTCTAAAGGGCCCAATGCAGTGTTGTTGTTGTTTTGTTTGTTTTTGTTCTAGTTTTTGAGACAGGGTCTTGTGTCTTGCTACATAGCACTGGTTGACCTGGAACTTACTACGTAGACCAGGCTAGCCCCAGACTTGTGATCCTTTTGCCTCTATGTCCAGAGCACTGGGAAGACAGAAGTGAGTCATTTTTTTCTAATTGCAAAGGACTACATTCCTACTGTAGAAGAATAGCTCTTGACAGTTTTAAATTATACCACCTCAATATATGTTTCCTCTTCCCTCCACAATTATACCACCAAGTATTCTCTGTGGTACCAGTTAAAGGCTTATTTTTTTTTTTTTTGTATCTCCTGGTTCTTAGAATGAGCCAGGATGGGGTCTCACACGTTCTCAACGTCAGCATCCTGTGATGACACTTGGGATAACGTGGCACGTGAGCAGTGTGCACAATTCACTAGAACTTAGAAAGTATGAAAAAAAATCCATTTCTTTTTACTATTTTTCTATTTTGTGGTGCTTTTGGTTTGGGTACTTAATAATACTTAACAATATTAATAACAACTTCTTACGGATGAAATTTTGACTGTTAGTGGTCTGGGCTTTGCCTTTGAAGGACATCAGAGTTAGCCTTATTCTAGATATACAATGAGGAAACGATAAAGAGATTAACTGGCTGTGCAGATCTGTCAGTCATTCAATTGCTAAGTGGTTGCCCAAGGGAAGACTGGGTGAAGGCGGAGGACGTTTGATTTTTTACTTGATGGGTCATCTTCCAAATATTTTAATCTTCTGTAAAAAGGCAGCCTTCTCTCTTTGTCCCCACTCTCTGTGTTGTAAAAAGATAAAAGAGTAAGAAAAAAATTGCAGTGAAGAAGTCCTCACGAGTCACGGAGCACAGAGGGTCTTCAGAAAGGACAAGCAGACAGGGAAACCTGAAAAGTCCCTAAGAGTAACAACACCTCGCTCAGTTGTTCGTTTGTATTCTCTTGACGGGTCCAAGACTTCTGCACCCCGAAACCGAGGGTCACTTGGGGCTGTTGGGTCTGACCACCTGGCTCAACTTGCTTTCATGGTCCCTGTGTCAGAGCTATCACCCGCTGTACTGACCCGGGGGCATGCTGGGCAGTCCAGTGCTGCAGGAGGATGTAGTCACACTCAGTGGCACATCAGGGCAGTGACGCTCACGCAGGCTGCCGCCTTCTGAGTGGTAAGGCCGATCTGCCTCCAGTAGGTCTCAGTCCAGTCTCATAAATAACCTCTGCACCCTCAGGAGACACCCCTACCTCTTCTTTCACTGTGCCACAGGGAAAGCTGGCCTCTGATTCGTGTTTTTATTGAATAAAAGCAGAGAAGTGCATTCACATTTCATGGAATACAAAAGTGAAGCTAACGATTTGCCCAGCTTTATACAGACAGCGACTCTTGCGGGGCTCAGAGCAGAGAACTCAGATCTCTTTTGAGCTCTTCAGCCCCCTTCTTAGCCAGGAATGTGAAGATAAAAGATAAGAAAGAATTGACATGATTGTCTTGAGCAGGGTAGCTCTGCAACCTGCTTTACTGGGGGTCCTGAAAGTGTATCAAGTCAAGGCGTCATTTGGATACGGGCAGACTAGGATACCTGCTGTTGGCCCAGGAGCTTCCCAACACCAGTGCAAGGGCCACACACTTCCCTGTCCTGGTTGAAGGAACCTCTGCTGTGTGTTGTTTGCTTTCAATCTCCCCAGGGGTTCCATTATGCTCTCAAGGCTGAGGGTGGTAATCCTGGCTGTGAAGGGTGGAGGGGTCAAAGTGAGGTACAGACAGTACCTGGTTGTGATTCTGAAAAGCTGGAGCTGTGCCTGGCTGTGAGTGTTCTGGGTTAGAATCCTGGCAGGCAAGGATGGAGAGGACATTCCTGTCCCCACCCGCAGCGGCATTGTCTTTCCCGTTTAAACTGAAATGACCCCACTGGCTTGACACAGATACATTAACTCCTGCTACTTGCAGATCTTACGGAGTCTGATTAGATGTCCCAGTAAACAGGATATGCTCAGTTAAGTGCGTGAACCGGCCGTGGGCACACGGTAAGTGCACAAGGGATTTGCCGGTCCTGTGCTTCAGTTCACGTTGCTTGGCTCAGGCCAGCAGCCTCAAAAGTACTGAAATCTTGCTTACTTCCTAAAAGATCATCATACAAATCAAGACTTAAAAAACCCCAGCTCACTGGAATCAGATGTTGCCGAGCGGCTTGCTGGGTTTCACGGAGTTAAAAATGCAGGCACTCTTGTCCGGTATTGAGAATTGGAGGGACATATGTTTACTGAGTGCCTGCTGTGCTCCAAGCACCACGCCCAGCGTCTTGTCAAGACTGCTCTTTTTCAGTTGTGCCGACAGGCCTGTATTATTATAATCCTGATTTTGTAGAAGAGCAAATATACAAAGGTTAAGTAAATTGCTTAAAGAAAAAGACCAGAGGGTGATAGAGTCATAATTATATTTCAGGCAGTCTGACTTCAGAGTTCAGGTACCTAATTATTGTGCCACACTCCAGAAACCACAAGAGTAGTGCCAAGAGATCCACAAGGCTGGGCCAGAAAAGCAGCCAGGTAGAGAAATGCAGGTGTGTATTTCAAGGAAGGATGCACACCCGAAGATGAGAGACGGCATGTTACAAAGAAAAGATGAGAGACAGCATGCTATAGAGTTTAAGGGTGTGGGGTTTGGCAATAGACACTACCACTTGCTATGTGACCTGGGTATACTGTGTAATTCAGCGAGGCTTTGGTTTTCCCAGTACACGATAATGGTGCTTTTCATAAGATAGGATCATTAAGAGTAAGTGAACCTAATATGTGTGGCTAAAGCCTTAAACTTAGTCTGTAGACATGCTCAATAAAAGATAGCAGTCATTGTGATCGAGTTAAAAAAAAAGGTGGGGAGGGGGTGTACAAAACAATACTCAAAGCTCAAAAAGAAAGGAAAAAAACTTGGCAGTAGTCAAGTACGAGGAGACACACAGAGGTGGCAGTCCACCTGACCCACGTCTACTGTTAATGTTTGTGGTGTCTCTTGTAAAGGAAGTTACAGTGAAAGCGTGTGAGATCTGTCTGTATCTAAATATCATGGAGATGACTTTGGCTGAGCTGGTTTGGTGTTCGGTTGCAGTGATTTGTTTGTCAAGGATTGCCTAGGCATCCATCCTCGGATCATCTGAAAATGCTTGACGTGCTTGCGTTAGACACAGTGGTGAGCTAGAGGAGAGGTCAGCCAGAGAAAACTTATCAGTTGCTGCTGTGTAGGCTGTGTGGTCAGGGAAAGGGGGAGGGGCATTCAGGGATGTGTGGTCAGGGAAAGGAGGGAGGGGCGTTCAGGAGAGCACAGCTGCCATCCAGATGTGACTGGGTGACATCCAAGAGTGTCCCAGTTACCTGGTTACTCGGTGGGCTGTCACTCCCTAGCCTTATCTGCTTCTTGTGCCCAAGAATAACAGTACGTCTGTGGGCCTGCATGTCTGGAGTGCAAACCCGCAGGAAGCAAGGCCGGGAAGAGATGGTTAGGAAAGACAGTGGTCACACAGAAGACAGTGGATTTGATTCTAGCTGAGCTTAATTTAGACCCAGATGGAAATAGTACAGCTGGAATTATGTGCTTAGCACTTAGCAAATGGGCCAGGGCAGAAATAAAGCTTGGAGCATTCTCACCTAAGACGACTGTTCAAACTGGGGAGCTAGACAAGCTCCCCAAGAGCAAAGATGTCAAGGAAGAAATGCCGAAATGGAAGGAGAGGCATTTGTCGAGACTCTAGCTACCGCGGTTATGGTGGATGAGAAGAGCAGAGAAGCAGAGGAACAGGGGACAGAGAAGGGAGGTCACAGAGGGGACAAGGTGAGGAGCCAGAGGG